CCCCCGGCAGTGCCACGCAGCCTGCCGAGACGCAGAGACCCGGCGAGCTCCCCAGCTGCACAAGGTGGTTGTGCAGGCTGCACCATCCTTTGGGATGGCATCTGCATTACAGAAAATTGTGCCTAATTAGAAATAAACAGAAAAAAGCTCTGATTTACAAAGAAATGTGTGATTTTGCCAGCTAATTTTTTTTTTACTGTCTTTAACTTAACATTCACAGAATACACTGATCATGCTAATGCTTTTCCTATACTCATTAATAAAGACAGTTTACATTTATATAGCACCTCTCTATCCCAAAGCTTTCAGCAAAACATACACAAAAAATTACATCTATTTCACTGAATACAGTCATCAGCGGAAAGAAAAATCAACAGTCGCGCAGCAGTGCAAAAGAACGTTACACAGCAGTCTAAAACAAGACAACAAAGCACAAACCAGAAACAACCCAAAGCAAAGCAAACTCAGATCAGAGAGAGGGTCTTAGGTAAAGGGGATGCTAGCATGCAAACAGCAAGGCGGACCAGGTCCGTACATGCCGCGAGAAGCGGTGTTTGCAGGGGGCAAACATACTCCTTAACGATTCGAGAAACAGCGTTCGTGCACGTGCAGCCCACTGCTATCTGCAGCCGGCACTGCGCGAGAGCCTCAGTTCAAGCTGGGACCCTGCCGAGGAGGACGAACTGCGAAGGCTGGCTGGATACTGGGGACGAGAAGAGGGAAGGTGCATAAACATGGACAAAGTATCAGCACGTAACTGACGACAAAGATTCTTGCTTTACAAATAGCCTCTGAATTTTACAAGCCGTTAATTATGTTAATACATTTGTCTGCAAAAAAACAAAAATAAAAATGAATTGCTTGTTTCAAAGGAAGGGTTTTAATTCTCTATCGTAATGACACATAACTGGAATTCCCAGACCGAAATGAAATAATCTATTACCTCTTTGTTCAAATCCCCTTTCTACCCCCCAATCTCATTTACTCCAGGCACTGCTCAAGCCTCCACACACTATATTGTATGTTGAGAGCCAGAGGTGGAAGAAAAAGCCATCCATCTAAAGTAAAATTAATAGCAAAACTTTGGGAGAGAGCATGCATGCGTTAGCAGGACCAAAACATGAGCTATTACATGACAAGCGTGTTGATAAATGTTCATCCCTGCAAACGCAAAATAACTTTGGTTTAGCTAATAAGCATCCATTATACCCCCTTCCCATCATTTTGAGGCAGACAAGGTAGTTTTCATACGTGACCCTTGAAAGCAGATTTGTTTTTATAATTTACTTGTTATCCAGGGGTTATTTTTTTTTTCTTATCTCTTGCTTCTTCCAGTACTCTCCCTCCAGCCCCGAAAGATCTCCTCGCCTGGAGTTGCCAGCATATTCCAACAACTGCTGGCTGAGACCTCACAACCCGCTGTATAAATTCACATCAAATTATTCACGTTTGGCACATTTCTAATGGTGAATAACAACAACCTTTTTGTCTCCGAGACAAAGGAAAGATAGAGTCAGAAAAAGAACAAAGGCAGCCTAATAAGAACCCCAAATTCCCTGTTTTTTCTCCTAATCTGGTTAAACAGCCTCTACAAGCCTGAGAAATTCAACAAAGCTAAGACGCTGTGGACTGTTTGTCCTCCTGGAGAGAGTCAACACAGACAGAACAGCCTCTCAGCGTGACTTCTGATGATGGCGTCAGACAGGAGATAACTTCTTTTTTGCCTGTTACAGTTTTAGTTTTTCCACAAAATCATCGTGACATAACATGCAATTACAGCTAAACGCGTGCTAAAATCCAGGAACCCAAGGCTGTACCCAAACTTGGCTGGGACTTCAATTTTGTCCCTACAGCAAGTTAAGAATTCATTTGGTGTAGATACCACCATGATACAAGCAATTATTATTTAAAAAAAAAAAAAAGTCAGTAAGAAAGACTCGGACGTTTCTTTTCAGCTGTATGCAAAGCAATATATAAACCCCACTTCAAAAGTGATGGCATTTAAGATGTAAAGCTATAAAATCCCTGTTAAAACTGATCTTATGAAGTGACCTTCAGGACAATGTCTTAATACCATGTCACCCTTTTGAGTTACAACTATATACATTGGTATCGGAAAAATTGATGACTCAGATACGTGGCCTCCCTCCTGCTGGGAGTTCCCCGACCCTGTTTTACCCCGTTCGGGGGACTGGATTTCTGATCCCTTCCCTAAAAAATCCTACACACTGCTGCTCATGTGGCTTCAGCGACAATCACCTCAAGACTCTTCCAGTACAGCAAAACCATTTAGATAGCAAAACGTTATGATAACTGCCTCTTGTTTCGCTCTCCTCATCCTTACACAGTAAGGGAAGAGTTAATAACATGGAAGAAGAGAATTAGCAGTGTCATTATTGTTTGGAAAGATCTCTCCCGTAACTGTATTTAGGTGAAAAAAGCAAGACTTGGCCTATTCCCTGCTACACGCTTAGATTTATGTCACAAGCATTTTATTACTATTTATAACAATGACTCAGTAGACATTTTTATAGTACTATGATGCCACAAACTGAAAACACTCCTATATCTGCGCTCACACATTTCTCCCAAATTAACAAGTGTGGTATCACACAGCACAGATTGAGGCTATGGGGAGACACTGCAGATCGCAGCATGAACTCCAAGCGTGAACACTTCCTCAAGGCCCCCGTGTCTTACTCTGGCAGCTCTTCTTTTTGCGTGCACTCGTACATCTTGGCTACACACTCATACACTGGTCCGAAAAACACGACATCACTTTATTAACGCCGTGACACTAACGAAGCCTTGTGTTCTTTTAGCCCCAAATTCCACAAGCAACCAGTTTTAAAGCCCTCATAATGGGGGGTGCATCATAAACTCGAGAGGAATCTGTTTTCTTTTCAAGCCAGGGAAAAACTTGACCATCTTTCTTTAATGCTATCAACCTGGAAGCTTGACAGTAAGGATTAAAAATTGCTCTTTCCTTCCCACTTGGTTATTGGAAAGGCTGTGAAAGGCAATCAGTCTTGTGAAGCCACACTTCACAGTCTGCATAAAAATGCCATGATTCCCACTCCTCTCCCCAACCTAATTGAAAGTGCATAATATCACACAGCTGGGGAAAGTAAACTGTAAACATACGCAATACATCATGCTATCACACAAAACCTCTTACTAATAGGCACTTGATGATCAGCAGGATCAAAAGGGATCTGAAAACAGAGATGATTTTTGCCGCAGTGTAAGAACTTTTCCTGAGTGGAAAGGGGGAAAAATACTCCCTCAGCAGTGCAGGAATTGGACTGCAGCCGATTCATTCATTCTGTTTGTGAAATATGGACTTTTCTTTAATGATTTCTTTTTGACTGCTGCCTTGCATAGATGCTCTGGGGGCACTACTGGAGGAAATCTTTTTTTTTTTTTTTGTTTTGCTAGGAGGAAATCCATGGCTTTCCACTCAGTAAATACAGGTTAGTTGGGCTTCTGAGCACCCCCCCTGCCCGCCCACAAAATGCATCATTGTTTTTAATGCCAGGTGGCAATATTACCTGTCACCAGGAGTCTGTGGATAGTGCTGCTTGTTTATTTTTGCATATAATCCTTCCAAGTGCTCCCTCTCCATTGGCGTTGAAGGAGCATCACGTGGGTATACGAAGGTTTCTGCTACCGCTGGTGATGACGGCCTGTAGATGCTTGCTGCTGGATAAGCCTCTCGGAAGTGATTTACTCTGGCATAATTTGGATCCACCTCATCATCATCAATGTCAGGTCCTCCAGGACCAGTAGAGTAATCAACCAGGCCTCTCACTTGCTTTTGCCGTAGCTCCTGATGCTTGGCACCAATCCTAGCAGTGAGAAAGAAACAAGAAACGTGCAGTTGGATCTGCTTCAGCAACGGCCCCAAACCCTGATTCATCATGCAAATCTGGAGCACCAACCTTGGACGTAACTGTTCAGATCTTCCAGTACAGTGTGGAACCAGTGCCAGGCAAAACAAAACGGCGCACGTGGCAATTTTGTTGTCTATCTCTGACAATTACTTTTATCATCATTCTGACGAGCAAAATTAATGCTGAATAGAGCGTGGCTTTTCACGAGCATGTACAGTTTTAACTCTACGCCTGCCCTCCACTTTACAGTCAATATTTTAGGATTACACCTCCTCAGAAGGTCTGTATTTAATCCATGACAAAGATTTATATAGCCATCCTAATCCTGAAACTTTTCATTTAAATTAGCCAATAAAAATATTACTGCCCCTTGGTCACTTGACCGACCCAGATTCTTCTAAATAAACTACCTTGTGAAAAGTGGATTAAACGTGAAAATAAATGCAGGGATGGCACAGTTGCCTGAAATCGAAGGACCAGAGTCAATTTGCTGAAGAATGACTTTTTTTTTTTTTTTTTTAAAGTTTGGCTACTAAATGGGGAAATCATGCCTCATTATAAAGGGGATAGGGACAAAGTAAAACAGCGAAGAAATGAATAGAAACCTGACAGAGATGAATTGGTACATATAAGTGAATTAAAGACTATTACTGGCAGTACTCCACTGTGATAAAGCCTTAAGTGGTATTACCAAATGCTGCTGCTAATCAGGGCCATTGTGTAATCTCTTTGGAATAGTAAAACGTATTCAGGTAAATTTCAAACTCAGCTGATCTTCAATGATTCAACATTTATTCTGGAAAGAAAACCTCTAGCAACGCTCTATGAGCACGCACTGTCTGCTAACTGCTCAGCTACTCTTCGAGACAGCATAATTAAATGCAGTGAGATGGATCAGGCAGAATGCTGACCACAGTATGTAATAAATAACATTTAGGGAAGATAATGAAGCACAGAGGAAAAAAAACGAAGAATGGAAGACAGATTCGCGCAGGCAGTGACTGACAGAAGCCAACACGCACTCTTGACTGCATCTGAAATACAGCAGCATCTCCCTGTACTGCCAACTGAAAGTGTAAAAGGAACAGTGTAATTTGTACCACAGAAGAATAAGTACCACCAGTAAAACGTAATGGGTTCAGGACTCTGGAGAGTGAAAAATGAAGATGTTCTAGAGAAAGTCTTGAAGATGAATGGAGAAAATGGTGCCTATAAGAAACAGATGAGCACACCGGGAGCTTAGCGCACTTGATCTAGTCTGTCAGACAGGAGCTATGAAGTAGAGAATGCGATTGATACTGTTTATTTTGTTTCATTAACATTTATTTTGATGACACAATGCTAATTATTTTTCAAGCAATTTGTAACCAAAAAGGTTCACAAATAATTCTAATCAGAACAACACGCCTTTTTATACATACACTCGCATACATAAACGTGCATCGTGCAAGCTTGCAAGTTACGCCTCTCCCTTATCTGTGCTAGAGCATATCTAGAGGTGACAGTAAGTAAAACTACCACTTTTTAATGCTTAAGATGTAGTTATACTTCATAGGGGGATGAGCCTGCATAGGATACCAAGGCTGTGACAGTCAGCGAGGGTGCCCACTCTCCACTCGGCCTTTCCTCAGTGAAGCAGATCACCCTTCTCCTCTCCAAATATTTTACTATAAAGACTATGTGAGAGAATTGCATCTTCTCACGACTCCTTTTCTGCTTTTCCCCAAGTCTCTGATCACAGCCCAGTTAGTACATTTTCTTTAATTTTTAAAGATATTGTTACATTAAGGCTTGGTGGGTATTTTCGATCCACTGCACTAGTTCTTAGATAGCAAAGGATGGTAAGAAGAAGGAATAAGCTACAATCCCTCCATCCTTAAAATCTCTCCGCTTTCTACACTTACGCTTCTCAAGAACTTGTTTCCTCCTTGTTCTTTCCCTGAGTTTTTCTTCTCCGCACAGTCCCCTCCTCTTTGTAACCTCCACTCCACTCCCCTGGTGCCTCGGGTTCCCGTGCCACACGCTCGCTAGTTTGTGTTCAGCAGCTGGCCTGGCTCAGGATAGGTGCCATCCGCACGTGCAACCTCCTGCAGGGCAAGGCAGCGCACTGAAGAAGCAGCAGGCTTCCAAGTGAGCCTTTGCGTCTGCACGTTTCTTAGTCTGTCTACGAGGGAGATGTTATTGGGGAAACCTACGGAGGGCACGGCCCGATGTCAATATATGATAAAATCTGTTAGTAAGGCACGTATTCTCTCATTTTACTGCCAACTGCACTGGCTCAGCTGGCTGATGGCTTCTCGGGATGATGAGCGTTTAATGGCATATGCAAAATAAAGGGACATACACCTTATCCTTTGCAAGTCCAATGGTGGCACTGGGAGACACCTAGGTAAAAGTCATGCTTTAGATTCATAGAGCAAAGGATAATGGTGTGGGGAGAAACTCAGTGCTGAGGAGCTATATATGAAAACAGAAATTAAAAAGCAGTGGTCAGCTTTCATTTCTATCCAAACCACAAACCACTGCTAGCAAAATGAGTAATTAGAGAGCAGCTGAAAGTATGCAAAGCCTTTATCCGCCAAGGCTTCGTGAATAAAGATAAAAGAGAGACCATGCAGCAGGGGCTGCTGGAGGGAGCCAGTCTGCCCGGGTCCGCGTGTAACGGATCACAGTCATTGTCCACGGAAAGGAAGTTGGGGCTAAGTTAGCATCCGGCCCACTCATGCAAAACCCAGTCTTTCCAGGTAGCTCATCGCCTGAGAGCACCCACTGCACTGCAGCGACAGCGGTGGATTTCCATTGCAAATAAGGGCCTCAGACATCAATGAAGCAGGGAGGGAGGTCTACGCTGCCGATTTCCATCTTTTATACATAAAGGGACTTCAAGAGAAACCCTCTTGCAGAGGATTAATATTTCACAAGTTTCACATGGGATTACGTTTAGAAATGTAAAAACGGAGGCATTATCTTTGTTTAAAAAGATTCACACAAATAGCTGTTAGCTTCTGCATCCAATAACTGTCAGATGGGTAGTCCTTGCCCCTGATTATCCTGCTTTTCTTCTACTAAAAGTGAGTAATAGCAGTTAGAGATTGCTGTCTTTGAGGCGAGCTCTGAAAAAGCACCGACTACTGGAACGCCCTGAAAAACCTGGGAAACAGTGGAGGGCTTCACCCTCACCTAGTGATTAAAAAAAGCCTAACAGACTTGGGTGGAGGAATAGATCATCTGAGGTAAAGGCTTCAGGGCACACAGCCAGGAATTCCTACCGGTGCAGGTGGGAGGATATAGGGTGGAAAAATGGGAAGAAGTTGCATTTCAAGGAGCAGTCTGCTCACAGGCCAGAGCAGAAGGCATGGCACATAGTCCCAAGAGCAGCTGCAACAGCTTCTCCGAAAATAGCGATACAAAATGTTCTTTGGACCCATACATTACCTATCCCCTAGGAACGTGAGACTTTGAAGGCAAAAAAGAGTAGTGCAGCACAGTGGCATCACGTGCATCTCGCTTTCATGTCTGACACTGAGTGATTTGTCCCACTAACAATACTGGTATATTCTGCACAACAAAAGCTGGAATTAGGTCATCACAATTTTCTTTTGTTCCTGTGAATAAGCCTAGCTTCTTCAACTTCTCCTTCTGAATGCAGCCTTCAATTGCTTGCACTATTATAAGCTGAACCTGCTCAAGAACAATTATTTCCATCCTATATTATACTGACCAGTCAATACCAGGCTATGTGAATTTCTCCATGATCAATGTTTCATCTTTTCAACCTTGCTATTATAATTGCATTACTATTTCTTGTTTCTTTCTCACCCTTCCATGGAAATCTATAAAATCTGCTCTATGATCTCTCTTTTACCCTATTTTCCATTTCAATCCCAAATGCTCAACTATACAGAAATAAACCGTCAGATGGCTGATTTCTTTCTTTCTGTTTTCCTGTCCTTCCATGCCTTCTCTTACGTTTTTCACCTTTGAAGTTTCTTTTCGTTTTTCCTAAGTTTTAAATACCTTCATTGCATATGAGCGTTATGTTTTCACCCAGGTCTAATGCAATCTTTTCTTGAACACATCCCAGTAAGTGCCCAGGAAACCTTTACTGGGGTGTGACAAAACGCATGCCCTTTTCCTTCCGTCACTCGACAATGCTCTGCCAATCTCCCTAAGCTGGCCAGGTCTGCTATACTCCATCCTGTTCCTCTGCCGTTTCTGCACTTTCTCTCCTAAATCAGAAACAGCATTACATTATATATTTTAACCGCCATTACGAAAAGTATACGTCAAATCAGCACAACTATCACAGCAATTGGTTTACAGTTATTAAGAACACACAATAACCACAAGAGAGCCCAAAACTGGAGCACCACAGGATGAGTCTGGTTAAACAACTGGTGCAAATTTGTGACAAAAGATAAAACGTCACTCAACACCACGACGCTGGCAGTGAAACCAGAGATGAGGAGAGGCACAGGTCACCATCTGAACAATTTAGTGTAGCAGTAAGGTTTCCACAAGCTTCCTGATGAGGGAAAGGGAAAAGAAAAACCTCACACAGAATGAAGGGAAGTTGGATATATTTCCTTTCGGGTATCCCGTATCAATCCTGCTCGCTTTCTTCCGCCACCTGAAAACCAAGCTCTCCAGCTAAATCACTGCACGACCACGACATCAACTTCCCTTAGCCGCGTTTCTGTAACAACACAACCTTTTCACACAGGCAGCTGGAGGACAGGCAACGCAGAAGTGTTGTATCGGGCAATGCCCTTTTTATTTCCTGCGACCCATCTCTTTTTCATTAGCATCCAAAGAGTCCTACTTAAGTCTTTTCTGTTGCTTTCAAGATCCACTAGCTCTTACCACAGCCTTTCTCTACAACAAATAATTTCAGCAAAAAACGCAGTCCTATAAAATACATAACCTCAATAAAACTACGGGTAGCGCTTTCAAAA